TAGGGTATATATATATATATATATATATATATATATGGGCAATTGTGGGAAGTGGCAAATAGCAAATTTAAATGGAAAATTATAGCCTCAAAAGTTATAAAGATGAGGAATGTAGCATTTATACACTGAAAACTGAAATCCAAGAAATGCAGTTTTTTCAGCTGAGAAACAAAAGCTGTGGCTTTTTTTAAACTTCCATATTTTTGTATCTCAAAATGCCAAGATATGATTTAAATATTTGTTGTAAGAATATAAATTGCTATTATTTGAATTGTAGGTCCCAAAGACTATTTACAATATCTATATTTGTAGCACTTGTTTACCTCAAATAAGGGCACAGTGATTGTTAAGTGGATCTGAAGAGCTGTGAAATAGAAACATAATTATATGATCTTAGGTATTAAAAAATTCAAAGTCCCTCCCCCTTTTTTTCTGTCCACAGATATGATCTTAGTGCTGTAGTTAAGGGCCGTGGATTATAATATTAATTTTGATGCTAGTATGATAGGTGATTTTGAGCAAGACGAAATCATGGTAGTTAACAGCTGGTATGAATTGAATGCTCACTTGGGGTCGGGCAGTCTGTGAGCTCTGTGTTTTATGCTGGTGTTTTCTAGTCAGAGTTCTGAACCAAAACAGGTCAGATGGAAAACCAAATATCACCTTGATGACTAATGAAGCCATTATCAGACAATGTGCAGCAACAGGCTTCCAAATACTGAACCCTGGAAATAGATTTGTGCATCCAGGGGTTGACTGCAGGATTTTCCCAATTATGGACAATCTAAGATGAGAACAGAACAGAAGTTGAGTGTTCTGTGGGCAGCTGCTCCAGGATAAAGGGAGAGAAAGGATCTGGGCTACAGACTGACTAAGAGACAACTTATCTCCTCTTCCAAAGTCATAATCGGGGAGGTATTTAAGGAAATTCCTTCTTTATTGAAACTATGGGCTTGGGGAAAAACTGTTCTTCATAGTAATGTATTAGCTTATTTAATTCTCACAGAAACCCTCTAGAGGAGGTATTACTATCATCACAATTCTATAGACACAGAAACAAAGGCACAGATATTTGAAATAAGTCTCCAATGTACCACAGCAAGGCTGTGGTGGAAGCTGCGTTGAACCCAGGCAGTCTGGCGCTAGAGTTCAGCCTGCATACCCTCCTGCCTCTCTAATCTTTTGGAGCTGAACTTTCTTATCTGAAAAATGAAGGGGTTACACTAGAAAAGTCTCTGAGACTTCCTTTCAACTTTAAAATGCTTTAATATGCCTTTAGGTTTATTGTAGAAATATCTCTCTGCGTGAAGTATTTTAAACTCCTCAGGCAAGGGATAATATGGAACAATATTATATACAATCTAAAACATTATTTTGATGAAAAGTCATAGTAGGGAATTGTAACCCAATTCTCTTTTCAATGTGGAAAACTTAACAGTTTAAAAAGGAACAGACAGATGGAATTTTGCTAACGCGTCCAAGAAGGAAATATGATTTCACATGCATATTATATGCAAGTTTATGAATGCAGTCATAGTGTCTGGAATCTAGGTAGGAAACTATGATGAAAATCAGTGAAGTAAAATATCAAAATAAAACATTGCATGACAACCCCTAATGGGGAGCAATGCTGGCGCCTTTAATAAAACCACTTGGGAGTATTAACCTGAGGCCTAAGTGGCTGAAGTGTTCTGAATTTCCCTGGCGATATCCATATATCACAAAATAAATGTTAGCTGGCAATAAATCAAGAAGCAACATGCTTAGCATGCCACTGGTGAGATGCCGGGGATGTGATCACCGACAGTGAATTGCGACACTCTATTTTGTGTCAAAATTAAGTAGACCTTGGTTTATAATTTCCTAAGAACTTGTTTGGAGCAAAGATTTAGGATTATAATCTCAATTAAGGATGGCACATGTGATTTAGGAAACAAACTCACCTTTGTACATTTGAAAGGGTAGAGGTATGATCAACATGCTTCCAACAAAACTGCTTTCAGTGTCTCCTGGGTAGCAGAGAATTTACCCCACATTTAAATACACTCTGGACATTTTGGAATAGTATTTTTGAAGATTAAAGAAAAAAAATCAGCTTGAATTAATAAGCTTCTACAAATGGCTTTAAACCAATATAAGTTCTACTTATGCAATTAATAGTTCAAATAACTTCAATTTTTATGTCAAATGAATTTGGTAGTTGGCAAGTGTTGAATACCTTTATTCAAAGCAACACATTTAGATTCTAGCTGATGAGCTTTATTCTCCTTCTCCACCAAAAAAAAAAAAAATCAAAAGAATGGCATTGCCTTTACTAATTAAATAGTGT